TTAGTAGTTGTGGTCTGTATATCTTGTTGTATCAGAGTTTAGTAGTTGTGGTCTGTGTATCTTGTTGTATCATAGTTTAGTAGTTGTGGTCTGTATATCTTGTTGTATCAGAGTTTAGTAGTTGTGGTCTGTGTATCTTGTTGTATCAGAGTTTAGTTGTGGACTTTTCTGTTACAACTTGCCAGTTGTAGTTTTTACCTTCTGTTTACATTTTTGAAAAGGTCAATTATTTTAATTGTAATGTCTTGTGATATCATATTTAACACTGTGTAAAATAAATCTATACAACTGAATATGTTTTAGGTGAAATGTTTTTTCTTTGATTTCTTAACATTTTCAAAACATGAAAAGCTTCTACTTCCTGCTTAAAATGTTTTTCTTTATAGAATTGAATTATTTAAAAATACTGTTTTGATTTTAGGTCAGAATACATTAATATTAAGAATTTTTTCTTATATTAAATGTTTGTTTTCTGTTCTAGATATGTGAAGAACTGATGACGCGTTGTCTGGCTCCAGACTGCCAGATGGGAGGACTGGGTTGTGACAACATGACTGTTGTTCTAATATCATTTTTGCAGTTTAATAGTTATGAAAAGCTTGCATTAAAATGCCAGAGACAAATTCCCATGTCCAACTTGATGGATAAAGAATCTGGGTGTGCAAGGTCAGAATCCTCCACTCTTGTGGTCAATGACGATGAAGACGTCTCTGAAGACGAGCAACAACCAAATGAGAATTTTGTTGATGCTTCAGATGTTGAATCTGTAATTAACAAAGAACCTAATATAACATCCAATGAGCCTGTTTCAAGTGCCACACGAGAAGCACGCATCCCCGACATGGAAGTTCACGAGAGTGGTCGTATGGCTGTGGTGTGACACTCGGTGTATCGTTACATTAAATACAAGTTGCACGGCAACAAAGATGACCTTGTGCTTTTTACATAGCCACATAACTGGATTGGAGATTTTGAAAATATTGTTATGTGTAAAAATAAAAAAAAGGGTTTCTAAATACTGGTATTTCGTTGATCTCAATGAAAATTATGCCATTCAACTGATAGTTTTGGCTGGTGAGTTACAGGCGTACGCCCTCAGGAGAGCTGCCATTTCTATTTTTGTACAGTACTACATCTGGCCACCTGTAGTGTAAATTGTACTGTTCATCAGTTGTGATTATCTTTTACATTTTTGTTTTGATCTTACTGATGTTACAAATAATTATTTCAGTGCCATTACAAATAATTTAGAAGTCAATATAGTATATGTTGATGATGATGATGCTTAAATTAGTTATTCAAATAAAAATTTAAAACCATGTTTTAGTTCTTCATAGTATTTTATTTTGATGTTGAGATTGGGATTTATTAGTTGTTGTTATTAGACTATTTTTTTTAAAGAAATTATTAGGTTGATAATTTATTGACATCTTCAAAGTGGCAGAGAATATATTGAATAATTTATATAGATGCGTAGAGAAAATACATAGTTGTCAAAATTATGTTTTGAAAACAAAAACTTGCAAAGTTCATTAGTACCTTTTATTATGATTGGCATCCCGTGTTTGAGTTCCATTAGTAATCGTTATGTATTAAGATATTTTCAGTTTGGGGACTTATTAGATAGGTGTAAATCATGATCACTTTGATAATAGTACTATTTTTTAGTTTTGGTTTATAAGTTTAGGCTTAAGTTGTGACCACATTTTTAATTTTCCTTGTAATTCTAAATTTGTTTTTAATTATTTTTTTTCTGTTACACACAAGAGATAATGTTAAACAAAATATATGTATTTGGTAGGTTCAGAAATTAACTTTATGAAAGCTTTTTGTTTGAAATACACATTTGTGTTACCTATTGATAATATAATGTGTTTATCAAAACAAATTAAATATGCTTGGAAAACAGAGAAGTTGTTGGTTATCAGAGAATACTATTTCTATAACTTTTTTTTTTCTGGTGAAGTAAAAGCACAAGCAACAGCATTGTAAATAATGTATTATTTTACAAGATCTAATTTTCTGAAGTAAATCAAACTTCTACTGTTTGTCTTGAGGTCAAGAATGTGTAACTTTTGTTTGGAAGTATAATAATTTTTCCAACACTTTTTTTTTAGACTGAACAGGACTTTTGTTGTTTTTTTTAATGCATGTCTCATCTTTATCAGATAGGTAATATAAGTATGAAAGGAAGGTCAGAAAATATATTTTTATTTAGTTTAACATAAAGAGAACGAGGTTAAGATCCAATACAAACTACTTTTTAAAAATATGAAAAGCATGTAACTTGTCAATTGTTATTAGCCTTGAGTAATTAAGCATCTATTAAATTATCAACAAAAAAGTGAATTTACCAGCTAATCCTAATTGACTTTGTTCACTGAATATAAGTCACACCATTGTTCTTAGTTTCCATTTTTAAGTTTAGGCTCTATTTCTCTAATGCAAAACCTCTTCTGGATTATATTTCTTGTTTTTGTAGGGGTGGTACTGAGAAAAACAACATCAAAAAAACTCGTGTGTATCAACTGTTCAAACAATGTTGTAAAGTGTTAAATTAATTTTTGTCAATTTTTGATTCTAAGAAAAATTTTCAAGTACTTTTAACTGATCAGCTTTATATCTAGTGTCCTCTTCTAAAGTACAGATTTGTTCAAAATAACTCATGCTAGGTGTAAAATTTTAAACATTCTGTACTTAGTAGCTACTGTCAAACATACTCACACATGGCTTTAACATTGGATACTAAATTGAGGAAAAACATTTTCCTCACTGAGTCTAGACGCTAATGTAGGCCTAAGGTTGGATACTTATGCATTAAACTAATAAACAAATTTTGAGTGTGTTGGTTAGCATTAATTACTTCGTTTCACTTCACACATAATCCTCGTTTTCACACACACACACACAGATGCTAGTGCTTGCTGATATAATAAGTGTTTAATTGAGAAATATATATTTTTGTTCTAATTAAACTACTTAAAATGAATTTTATTGGTGGGTAATGATCATGTGTGTGTCGTAACATTTATCTTAATAACAGTAGGAATGTGCAGTTTGTCCCTGACATGCTTCTATTGTAATAAAATTTTAACCACTACTAGCCACACCTCGCAAAACATTTGCGATAGTTTTCATACACCTCGCTTGAATTTTCCTTATTCTATCATTTTCACGCACGTCATTTAAGCTACACTTTCCTGCAGCCATTATGCATTAGATCGATAAATCCTGGTCTATTTGAAAACATTTTACGCGGTCAGTCAAACAAACTCGCGTAGACATAACTATTTAATATAACTACACGTAAAGTAAACAATAAAGTATAATAATGGTACAGAGCATAAAACAGTTATTAGCGTTGAGTGTATGACAGATTTACGAGTTCGAACAAAGGAACTCTCAGAAACGAAGAATAAAACCCGTAGTAAAGAACAAAGTAGCTAAATGTTTATAGCAGTCAATGAAACGAACCGAAGCTAAATTGTTGTAATGAAGGCAAACTTAGCTGAATATGCAGAAACGTCTGAATGAGTGTTCACAAAGTGACAAAAGTGGTTTGAACGAACTGCGCATGCGTATTTTAGACCTAAGTGAGTCTAAAAAGCTCATAGAAATAGTATTTAGTGTAATGTTAATTTTTTAAAGAAATTACACGCGGGTTAAGTGTTATTTATGTGAAATACATTGCAAATAAAAAACTAAAGTTGAAATCGAAGCCATTCGTCATGTGATAACGACGACATTGTGCCATCGTGTACCATGCTTCGTTACTTTAAAAAGTTTGACAAACCAAAAACAGGTATGGTGATTTTGAATAGAAAAGCCAATATGCAGTCTGGATTTCTCGGACAAATAGCTTTCTAATGAATGAGGTTTGTAACATTTCATCGAGAAATTTGTGAGAAAACTTCCTGACACAAAATACATCAACAGGTAAACCATCCATTACCAAACTATGTCTTCTGAAAATAACTTGGGTCAGTCACTGTAAAGGGTAAAAAAGATATAAGAAATATGGCAAACTGGGCATTAAAAAAGTGAAATATATAGTTGACGTAGCAAGACTGTATATTATAATATTTAAATATTTCGTTAATGTGGCCCGCATAAGTAGTAGGCCTATAAAATGATATAAACCTTCATCATCTTATTCTGTATAGGTGTCAGTTATTGCAAGTTAAACTTCTATGTTAGTATCTTTAAATTTAAAGCCACTGTAAATCCTGTATTGCAATAACTAAATTCTTTTTCTTCATTCAAATGTTTAAAGTAAAGCTGGTCAGAGTGACGTGTTTGTGCTGCCATCTAGTGGTTATATATTCCACATTTATATGTAAATTTTTTTAACGTGAAAGGTAATTAAATCTGTTAGTTGGGCAAATAAATAGTTAAACATCAAAAGAACGCTACTTATTTTTGTCTTCCGTGTCAGATGAGATTTGTGGATGGTCGTAAACAGATCACACGCTGGGTGAGAAAAAATCAGGGGTACACTTTTTAAGCAAATCTCTGTGCTAAAATAACGATTAACAAAATATATATATTTTTAAATATCATAAAAATAATAACAGCAACACCGGACGATATTGTCACCACATTTTAGGGTTACCATTTTATGGTAATCGGATTAGCAATTGTGCTTACCATGAGAAATGCGAGATGTTTAATTTTTAATTGCAAACTTTAATGATGAAAATTTAAAGCAAGAAAATTCTAGAGATCTTTATTCAAATTTTTTGGGGTAAAGTTTCTTACATTTTAAGTTCAATAATTTCTAGCTTACCTTTACCTATATTGGGTTAAAATGATGTCAAACGATCGTATTATGTTTTAACTTACAAATTTATTTCTTGTATTTTCTCATTTCTTGCCACTATCATTGATACTGTATTTTTGGTAACGTTTTATTATAGATTTTAGGCGACGTACTCGTGAGGAAAAAAATTATTTTTTATTTTACGTTGCTGAAGGTTGAAATTTTTCCAAAGATTTTTTTTGTGTGTGTGTTTGGTGGATAAAATAGTTTCGTTTCAACAATTTTGAGACCAGAACGTCAAGTGTATATCAAACTGGTAATAACAATAGTACAAAATAATTATGTAGAAAACCCCATGTTTAAAATGATTACATCTAGAATATGTGAATTTCATCAACGGCACAAAGAAAGTTATAAGTTTTAGGACATTTTTGACACCGTACAGAATGTTTCAAAAAAGACTGTCTATATGCTTTCGCTAATATCGGTCAGCATATTAGCTTATCTCAAAACAAAGCTACTGCTCTGAATATGTTCATTGATCCTCAAGACATATTCTTAATCTCGTATTTTCTCTATAAAAAGATAAGTAATGATTTAGGTTTACAGTTTTTGTAATACCCTGTGCCATGACTAGATTTTCCCGAATAAAACTTATGATTTTCAGTGTGTCTTTGGTGAAATTTCGTTTATAGTCTTGTTAAATATGGAATTTTCTGTATAATAACACAATATTTTTGAAGAGATCCCTCGTGTACTTTATTACGGAAACACATATCAACAATCCCCCTAGGTGGTAACCGCCATTTATCAATTCGTTATACGGCTAAGGACTATAAAAACGGAGAGGTGTAGCATCTAGAGTACATCGTTAAAATTGAATACGTTCGAATCAGAAGACTGAAAACATAAATTGTTACTACCGATTAAGTGCGGAATGATTAACAGAGTACAAAGAGACGGAGCGACCGACAGTTTAAAGACAATCGTTCGGAAGACTGTATCTCACCGGTACGTATGGTAATATCCAACTCGGGTACCTTAGGGCTAATAAGCCGTTAGGTTTAACGTGAACTGAGCTTGGTTCAATGTTTATTTGTACTAGAATAGTTTAATTTCTAATTCACTCTAACAAAAACGTATATTTTCTCTA